ACCCCACCCCACAGATGTGGACAATTATTATGTAAATAAAAAGTAGTAATGAGTCTCATGCTTGAGCGTGGAACTATTAGTTATCCTAATTACAAATGATCACTTGGAAAAACTTGCGAATATCGTGTCTTTTTTTTTTTTTTAATACTGCCCCCAAACCACAGAAGAGCCTCTGATACGTCACTGTTGTCACCTTCCTTATACTGTCTCAGGTGCTCTAAGCTGCCCTGCTTCTGCAGTGATTTCCCAGCAGTGTTCTGGACTCCGGCAAGGCTATGCAGTGCAGGGAATGCATCCTCAGATGTGTTGTCCGGGACGACCCACACAGAGATGGCAAATGTCTAGATGGTCTAGAGATGGCACTCAGGGTCTAGGTTCCTGTTGGTGCCATCAAGGGTGGTGGGTGTACTCCTCCCAGGTTGGTCAATGCTTGAAGAAAAGTTTTACCTTCTAAGCCCCCTAGATGGCGCTCCTTGTTAATTGTGAGGCTTTCTTTTTTTTTCCTTTTCTTTATTTTCCTTCTCATTGGGAGCTATTGGCACCCAACCCAAGGCCGAAGTTATCTGCCATTGTCCAATGAGAAGCCACAGACATCTGACTGAGGGCGTGACATCAGAGATGAGTTTTGCTGCGAATAACCATCACTTCTGGGGTATTCCTGAATGGTTTATATTGGTGGGACTGTCATGGGTGACTTGTTTATGTGAGTGGCATGTGACTCTCCTTCTTCCTGGCATGACAGTATAATTCTGTGTACACAAAGGTTCTTCATGGGTGGCAGCTGATGTTTACTCTGAATAATCTTTGAAGAGGAGGGGTGGTGAGGTGTCCGGAGTTTGTAAGCACCCATATCCTTCTATCTTTTCTTCTCTCTGGTTCAGACTTGCTTTAAATAAGACAATTCCAGGAAGTGTCTCATCCATGAGTCTCTAAATGTCTCCCTTACCTGACCCCCATCTCACTTGAGATACCAGCAGGACACATTCGCTGTGTGCGTCATCAAGAACTTTCTTATCAAACAGGCGTTCAGGTGACACCAGAGTTAACGGAAATCCCTCTGATTTTAATTCTCTTCCTTTCAGGTGTACGAGGATAATTCAGATAATTCGCAGATAAAATCCACACACCTTTAAGCTGAGGTATTTAACACAGTGATATATGTGTTCACTGTAAAATGATGCTCATGGTCAAGCTAACTAGCACACTGCCACCCCGGAAGCTCCCAGTCGCCCTTCCCCCGTTTACATTTCTTAAAACAATTTTTGTGTGTGCATGAACTTGTGCGTGAGAGCACATGTGTCCCAGTGTCCACGTGGAGGAGGTCAGAGGGCAGCTTCTATTTATCCATTGTGTGGTTTCCGGGGGTTGAACTCATGTCACCAGGCTTGGCCACAGGTGCCATTATCAGCTGAGCCACGGTACCTTCTCCCCTCCTGTGTGGTGAGAACTCTGAAGATGTAGCTTCTCAGTAGATTTCAGGAGGATAACACCTATGACTGACAGCTCACCACGCTATACATAGGTCCCCAGAGTTTAGGGAATCAGAATTTTAATATCAGGAAGAAGAGATAATTTAGGAACTTCTTGTGATTGGACTGAAAACTTGCCAGGGGGTTTCTCAGGTAGGAAACTGGGCACCGTGAGGCATGCAGATGCCAGACAGAGGAAGGTGGTGAGAAAGGAAACAATGGGGGGGTGTTCTAGAAGTCTCCCTAGCAGCTGATCCTGAGGGCTGTAGACCTTCCAACTTGGACGGGACATTCATGACCTGACCTAGCAGGGGAATCCTGGGAGCTGGCTCTCTATGCAAGATGCAGTCACTGTGCTTTGCTCCAGTTCCTGATCCACATATATGTATTTTACCTGCACCGAGGAATGGTTTCAGGTGGAAGCAGCCACTGTAGGTTAAAAATCCGAGTCTTCAGAGGAGCAAAGTAACTGGCTGATGGTGAAAGCACCCAAGGTGAAAGCTGCAGCTCTTGGTGCAATGTATTGGGTGTTATTGGCAACATCTGGTGGCTTTGCTTTATCTGTCCTCATGGTCAGGCAGTCTGCTGCAGGGGAAGGAGGTCAGCTGGGGAACATGGGTCCGGAGCAGGCTGGGTTTCAGGTTCTGTAGGAACGGAATGTAAAGATGGGAGAGCAAGGCCTGGAAGAAGAGCAGTGTTCTCCAAGTGATTGGTGCAGAGGGGCCTGTGGCTCTCTTGTTCCTTCTGTTAGTTACCATCATGTAGTATGAAGGAAGACTGATTGGTATAGGTGGTGTCTTTGATCCACTCCCTAAGCTGGATTTTAGATCAGGGCCTGCCCATCTGGAAATGCAAACGAGGAGGAAGGGAGATGTGTATGAAAAGCCTCTCACAATCCGAGACCCCCAGGAGACACACATTCAGCCCTTGTTGCACTTCTCTATGCAGATGTGGCAGTTTCTGATACACATGACAAGGATTCACATTGCCGGCAGCCCATCCTGGTGCTGATCTTAGGATCAACTTCTACCAAGATGTTGGGTGATGCAGACTACCACCTCTTGCAAGAGATATTTGCCCCCGAATGAATACTCTCAACCACCCACATTTCTCAACTTGGAACTCAGTCTCTCCTGCTTTTGCTCCCAGTCCCACATTCTGGGATATTTCCCATTCAAATACCTTCCCATAGCCAGGTTGCTGGGAAATGCTTTGGAGACAAGTTCATGGCTTACTATTTGACACCATGGCAGACACCCAGGAGATCATGTTCCCCAAACCCACATCTGTGCAGTTCCCCACCTCACTAGTTTTGGGTTGAACTTATGGCTTATTGTGATTGATAAAACCTGGCAGACATCATGCTCTGTCTGTTTTGGGCTCCTGGCCAGAAAAGCTCTATAACTTTTACCTTTGCTTTCTTGGTGTCTTGAGACACCGTGTGAGAAAGCCTGGGGCTAGAGGCACAGCTCAGTGATAGAGTGCTTTCCCAGAATGCGTGAAACCTTGGGTTCTATCTCTAGCACTATGAAATACAAAACATCCAGGGCCAGCTTCCTTGAGGACCTTAGCTCTTAGCATAGAGAAAGCCAGGGGCTATGAAAAGCTAGGAGGAAAGGAGATAAACAGATATTCAACTTTGGCTAATTGCAGCCGTCCTGGCTAAGATGCCAGGCTATGAATTCAGTCATCTTGGGTCTTCCAGTATTAGGGACACCAAGAGTCAATTGCGTGGTGAAAATAACTCATTGTCCCAAGTCTAGAATAGATTGGATAACTGTGAACAAGTGGATAATTGCCAGTATCCTCTGTGTCTTGGGAGTTTTGTTACACAGCAATAGATAGCTGACATGATACTTGTTGTAGAATATTATTTTAAGGTGTGTTACTTTTGTTTATGTTGCATTTGTTTAACTCTGTGAAGCTGTGTTACTGTGCTTGTCTAAAACACCTGATGGTCTAATAAAGAGCTGACGGGCCAATGACAAGGCAGGAGAAAGGAGAGGCGGGACTAGCAGGCAGAGAGAATATATAGAAGGAGAAATCTGGAAAAGGAGAAATCTGGAAAATGAGTAGCCTAAGAAGTAGTCAGAGAAGGAGGAGGACATCGGGGGCCAGCCACCCAGCTACACAGCAAGCCATGGAGTAAGAGTTTATAGAAGTAAGAGAACAGGAAAAGCCCAGAGGCAAAAGTAGACAGGATAATCTAAGTCAAGGAAAGCTGGCAAGAAATAAGCCAAGCTAAGGCTAGACATTCATAAATAAGAATAAGCCTGTGTGTGATTTATTTAGGAGCTGGGTGGTGGGCCCCCAAAAGAGTGAAAACCACCACCAATAGGTATTGTGAGCCACCGTTGTATCTGCATGTTCAACAGCTTGCTGTTGCTTGGCTCACAATCTGGAAGGATTCATACAGTTATGTATGAATTCATTCGTACAGTCCGCCTGTACCCATGTTCCTATTCCTCCAGCCTAGAAACGCTGACTCGCCCTCCCCCTTACCTAGCAAAACACAACCAACCTTAACTTCTTTAACACTGTAGCCAGAACTGGTCCTTCCCTTTCCTGACACCCTTCAATGCCTCTTGTGACACTTTACACATGTTTGTTCATTGCAATTGATTCAAAACTTCTCAAAGATAAGTGCTATGCTCAGTCCTAGATGGGATGTCTTCATCACACCCCTCCCCCTTCAGGGCTCAGAGAACTATGGGTAAGAGGTGTCCAAAAGATCCTACGAGCCAGAGGGGATGGCTTTAGCAAGGAAAGAGTATCCTCCAGACACACATAGGAACTCACAGAGGCTGTGGCAGCATGTACAGGGTCTGCAAAGGTTCAAGCCGAACAGGGTCCCAGTGCTAAGAGGGGGAAATGAACACGGGCTCCCATCCCTAACCAAGAAGCTATCTCCAAGTGACCATCACTTGCAAAGGACAAATTAGTTTTCTATGATGGAGTCTCACTGGGTATATGAAGCACCTTGAAGGTAAGCTCCACGCCCAGCAGCAGGCAGCCAACACAAAGTGAACTCTAAGGTGTTTTTGTAGATTTTGTCTCATATTGCTTTCTTGGGGTATTTTTCATCTTGCTGGTCTTCTGCTTGATTCTGATTTTCTGTTTTTATGGGTTTTGTTTTTGTGTGTATGTGTATCTCTCTGTATATATGTTTATTGTGCTTTTTTCTTTCTTTTTAAAAAAATTCTAGATTATATTTATTTGTTTTAATTTGCCGAGAGAGAGAGAGAGAGAGAGAGAGAGAGAGAGAGAGAGAGAGAGAGAGAGAGAGAGAGAAGGCATGGAGTTGGCTGGGTGGATAGGTAGGTAGGGTCTGGGAGGAGATGGGGGAGGGGAAACCATGATCAGAGTCTATTATATGAAAAAAATTGCTGTCAATAAAAATGTTAAGCTCTACTTTTATTTTATTTGAGTTTTCAGACAGAGATTTGCTATGCAGGCTAGGTTTGACTCAAACTTGCACCCCGCTTGCCAGCTTTACGTTTAAACAATCTATCGTTAAAATGCTATTCACAGGCCAGCAAACCCACCCAGTTGAAGTCTGCAGTACAGTGGGTTGTCTGTGCAGCTGTCCAACCAAGCCTGGGACTCATCATTCCTGAGGGAGAGTCCATCGTCATCAGAAGCTTGACCACTCTGCCTCCCACCCAACTGCAAGCCGCGGGTCATCCATCACTTGTCTATTTTAACCTCCAAAGATTTAGTATTTAAAAAAATTGGTCTGAATAGGTGAGACAGTTGATTGGCTTGATCAGTTTGGGAGGCAACTAGGCAGTGGGACCAAGTCCTTTGCTCATTGCATGAGTTGGCTGTTTGAAACCTGGAGCTTATGCAGGGACACTTGGCTCAGTCTGGGAGGAAGGGACTGGACCTGCCTGGACTGAGTCTACCAGGTTGATCACAGTCCTCGGGGGAGGATTTGCCCTGGAGGAGGTGGGAATGGGGGGTGGGATGGGAGTAAGGGGAGGGGGTGGGAGGGGGGAGAATAGGGGAACCCGTGGCTGATATGTAGAACTGAATGGTATTGTAAAATTAAAAAAAAAAATTGGTTTGGTCAGATGTCTGAAGCCCAACAAAGGTAGATGAGATGGAGGGAAACTCTGAAACCTTTTAAAGTCCCCAAGAATGAATATCCAGGGGTTCAGGTTCTGGTTTCATTATGCGCCAGCCTGGAGAGAGAGATTTTCTTTCCTTTTTGAGGGTCTGGAGACAGACTAAGGGCCTCGTGCATGCTGGACAAGGGCTCTATCATTGAGCCACACCTCCAGCCCAGCTGGACAGATGCCGTTGAGGTGGGCACTCTGTGGGACTTTGTGTCTGTCCTGTTCCTGCACCTTCAGAGGCAGCAGGGATCACTGTGGGGGAGAGCATAGCAGGGCCCATGCTGAGGTCCAGGATGCTTCAGTATCTCTGAGCCTCAGTTTCCATAGCAACACTACTTTCAGGGGTAAATGTGGGGACCGTATGTAGTAATACCCGAGAGACACCTCTTGTCATACCAGCAAGACATTTTCTGTTCCTTCTTGCAATTAATTGTCCATGGAGTCTGCCTCGCTGCAGTGGTCCATCTTGAACCATGGCATCTACCTCGGCTCCAACCTCAAACATGTTCTGAGTAGGCAGTTCTGCCTGGTAAGGAATCGCTAGACAGCAAGACCAAGGGTTGGGTGTTCCAGAGCTGGGGACCACGGGATGGTGTCAGGGGGGAACCATATGATGTCCAGGGCCATGGCATTCCCACACTCACTTGGCTCCTCAGTTCCTTCCCAAGACAAAGCTGGATATAGCTTTTTTCTTCCCCATCTCCTCCACAGTGGCTTCCTGGATGCACATGTGGAGGCATCGTTTCAAGTGTTAGTTCCACCGGGAAGAAACCCCAGGGTACCAAGAAGCTGCTGACTGGGTTCATGGCATCATGCCAGTCTTGCTTTGAGTGGCACAGATTTGTTCTCATAAGAGGCTGGCTAAGCAGGGTGGCACCTTGGTCACCCCCCCACACCCCCCATCTTCTAAAGAAGACAGAGAAAAAAGACAAATGCGGCCAAACCCCGGGTCAGGCTCTGCTGACTGTGCTGGTGTATATGACATTCTGTCCTTGGTCTGTGCACTGTCACAGAAACTCCAGCTGGGCTGTGTCACCCTGAACTCCCATGGAGAGAACAGACCACGAGCGAGCTGCTGCTGTGTGTGAATGCTAACTCTATTCCACAAACTGCCTTCCGCACATGTTCTCTGCTGGGATTCCCACACCTGCTGCCTCCTGGGGGTGGAGGAGAAGGCTGGACAAACAGAGCGGAGTCTACACAAAGCTGGTGGATGGAAGAAGTCCTTGCCACAGTGGAAGACTGGGGGGTTGGGCTGCTCCCGTGCCTGGCCGCCTCGGTCACTGCTTCATGGTAAGATTGAGAATGGACTTTCGGTACCTCTTGTTCACCTAACTCCATGGTTACGATACACCTTCCTCTGGAGTGGGCCCCCGCTGTCCTCAAACTCGACGCCGCTGTTCTGGGCGCTCAATCTCACATTCTTGAATCTCCCCACCTTTGCTCTGTGTTGGGCCGGTGGCTGTGAGGGGTGCTCTCCTGCCTTTCCCAGTGGTGCTGTAGGGGGTGGTGGGGCGGCACCTGTGGTGTGGGCGAGCAGTTGGGGGGTTAGGGGCCAGGTTCCTCGTGATGCTGGCTCAGAGCTGTCCATCACTGGTGTGCTGCTCTCTGAGGGACTGAGCATCTGCCGGCCACTCTGACGTCTGTCTTTTCAGCCAGAGTCTGAGGGGGCAGGAAAGGAAGCGGGTCATGTGATATAGGCAAACTCCCTGCGTAAGTACAGGAATGGGGGCTGGTGATGTGGAGACGTGAGCAAGGACACAGAGAAGACCCCCCCTCCCCCGGCACCTCCCTGCGGCTGTTGTTCCCCCCCCCTTCCACTCCTGTACCGGCACCTCACAAAAGGGAAGTAGCGTCATCACATATGTGCACGCCTGCCCTTCGTGTGTTGCCTCTGGGTCACCATTTCCTGTTTCTGAGTCATCAGGAAGGTGATTTCCCCCTGATGTTCAATATCCCCCCAGGATCCTGTCATCACTCAGAATCTCCCCTGCTGCCTTCTTCTCTCCTTTCCCTAAGAACAACAAGAGACCCTGTCTTAAAAATAAAACCACTAAACTAAACAGTACACAGCTGTCGGGCTGCTGAGAGCACACTAATGCCTGCCCGTCACAGCTCTCAGCCCTCTCCGGAGGTGGCTGAGGGCCGTGACCCATGGGATATTTGAATTCAAATGGAGATGAATCTGAAATACCTCTGTGTGCAGCAGGGTCTGTCCTAGACCCCACTTGAGAAGTGACATGGGAGGACTCTGGCTGCCCCCCAAGATAAAGAATGAGTCAGACTTTCAGAACAAGACGCCCCAGGAGGCAAGGGATGGCACTGGGAGGGGTGTGTCACCTCCGCTGAAGCAGAACCCCAGGGTTCTGTAGGCCTCCCTGCCTGTTCTTTCTGCCCCATCCTCTGCTTCTGTCATCCCTCTCCCTCCCTCCCTTCCTCCCTCCCTCTCCCCCTCCCTCCCTAAATCACATCCTTCACTTTCTTGTACTTTTCTCTAATTTCCCCAGGAAGGGTCTAACTAGTGGGATAAGTGCCCGGGGTTCAACAGTTCAGTTAATAAACATTTATAAAGTGTCTAATGGAAACCAGGTGTGATGCTACACCAGGTGCACAGCTAGATTCCGGGGCTCAGAGGTACTTAAGTATCATCCCCTAGGTGTAACCCATTTGGTAGAGTGACCTGGAGAATGATAATTGATACTGGGTGGGGGAAATCCCCTGATGATGACAGTTCAGAGAGATATGAAAACACAGAGACTAGTCCTCACGGTGTAACTGGGTCCCTGTAGATGATTCTAAAACACCCACGCAAAGGTGCACCAGGGCATCGCCAGAACAGTTTCTAAGCAGTCTGGTGGCTGCCGCTGGGTGAAGGTGGAGTGGGAAGTGAATAACGGGTGTTTTGGGTAAAATCTAAGAGGTGCTATGATGCCCAAAGAGTCCCTAGTAAAGACGGGGGTTCAGAGGTGGTTTCTCGGGGGAGAGGATTTTAAATGATTTCTGTTTTTGTCATTTATGTGACATTTTAAATTTTGCATTTTTTTTGTATGTGGTAGACTATCTATGCATTACTTTTCTTGGCCCAGGAAAGGTAGCCCATGGTTTTCTTGGTGGGTGAAGGAGTGGAGGTTGGATTGCAGAGGGGGCCTGAGGTAGGCAGAGACTAGCAGGGGCCAATTTGGAGTGTGAGCCAGGGTTAAGAGCCACAAACCGCATAGGCCTCTCAAGCTCTGCTGTGGAAGCTGGGGAGCCCATAGGTGGGAAGGGAGCCCATAGGTGGGAAGGGAGCCCATAGGTGGGAAGGGAACCCATAGGTGGGAAGGGAGCCCATAGGTGGGAAGGGAGCCCATGGGTGGGAAGGGAGCCCATGGGTGGGAAGGGAGCTCATAGGTGGGAAGGGAGCTCATAGGTGGGAAGGGAGCCCATGGGTGGGAAGGGAGCCCATAGGTGGGAAGGGAACCCATAGGTGGGAAGGGAGCCCATGGGTGGGAAGGGAACCCATAGATGAGAAGGGAGCCCATAGGTGGGAAGGGAACCCATAGATGAGAAGGGAACCCATAGATGAGAAGGGAGCCCATAGATGAGAAGGGAGCCCATGGGTGGGAAGGGAGCCCATGGGTGGGAAGGGAGCCCATAGCTGGGAAGGGAGCCCATAGATGA